ACGTAGAAACTACCCGGTACTCTCCGACCCCGCGGTAGCCGGCATTAAACCGCGATACAACGTGGCCGCTCGTAAAGTCCGAGCATTAACCCTTTAACGTCTCCATAAACGATGGCACCCCCGTGAAAACGCGTTCCGAACTCTTCCTAACTCGGCTGCCCGTTCCCGCTCGTATAACTTCGACGAGGGGACAGGAAACTTTAGTGTCCGGGCGATACGACGCGGAAGACAGTCGGATTTCGCGTCAAAGGGCTCGCGAAAAAAAAAAGGGAGGAAAAGAAAAAAAAGTCACCCCTGTCGCTCGCCCCAGAAATCCCGCCCCGAGCGGGCCGCATTTTGTCGCGTTGTTTTTCCGCCCGAAAGAAAAATTCGGCCGCTTCGTTTTTCATGGAAAGAGTCTCGCAAAGAGCGCTCTTAATCACGTTTCCGAGGACTCGTAATTATAATGAAATGATTGAAAAAAGAGGAAAAGAAAAAGACACAAAAACGGGGAGTCAACGGAAAGTCCTGCCCACAGAGAGAGAGCTTATCCTGGCGAGATGAAAATGCCGTTGGTAATTTTAATTAATAAATGGAGCGTTCTTTTTAGAAAGGATTAAGCGCGCAATGTGATGGGGATGGTTTGAAGATTTTTTTTTGAGGGAGTAGGTTGGATCTAGGGGCAGGTGTCAAGGGGGTTTAATGCTGAGATTGCTGTCAGGGGTGATATCGAGTCGCCGACAGTCAGATTCCGTCAAAAGGCGCGGGAAATGTCCCCACCCCTTTTCCCGTTTGCCCCCGAAAACTCATCCCGAGGAACGCCCGAAACGATTTGTCAACGAAATCTCTCGCCCCATATGTTTGGACAAGTAAGAACGCCCGACGATTTCTTGAAAAGGAGAAATAACGCCAGTTTGAGTTTTATTTCAGACCGGGGACTGAAAAATGGACGGGGGGCGACGACGCTTCGCTATCTACCCCACGGATTTATCTTACGATCACTCCTGGGATTTATGGAAAGCGAATGATAACGCGTAAGATGAACAGTGATGAGAAATTCGCATGAGCAACATGACTCCCAGGACTCTTGAGTTTCCTTTGTGAAGGGATTCCTGGGGGGGATAAAAATGGATTAGCTGGGTTTATCGATGGGTTGTAAAGGGAGAAAAAAAAAATATTGTTTGGCAGGACGTCGTAGCGTACCATTGAGAAGAGGTTTTGATGGTGGGGGTAGATGGGGTTGTGGTGGGGGAAGGCCCGGTGGTGGGGGTTACGAGAAGCTGCGAGGGTCGCGCCTCGCAATTGGCTACGTCGGACGATAGACGCGTTTCGGCATAAGCAGGGGCTCCGTCGGATGGAGATTAAGTCTCGGGAGCAAAAACGTCTCGTCGAGTGGAATCGTGACGTCATTGAGCAACAGGACTTCCGTCAGTTGGAGCACTCCTTGGCGCGACAAGGCTTCGTTAGGCTATCGAAGAGACCCGTCGCTTGGAGGGGGCTCCGTCAGGCGGCGGCGGCGGCTGGAGTGGGGGGCCGCCTGGCGGCAGGAGTGGGGGGCAGCCGCGGGTATAAAAGCGCAGGCGCGGCGCATCGACCGTCAGAAGCTCAGGAGCGTGCGTCCGTCCCGCCGCCCCTGGTCTTCCTCCTCCGCTGGCTTTGAGCCATGCCGCACGTGACGCCCCGAGAGAGTACGCCTCCTCGTGTGCGTCGCGTGCGGCTTCCAGGAGTCTGGTTCCCTCCGCTCTTGAGCGTATGTCAACTCGTCGAGATTGATTATGTAGTCGGTCCTGCCGGGGGGTGACGCCGCTTCCTCGGCACCGGCGCATTCCGCTCTCGCAAGGAGAGATTGCCGCGGGAGGACGGGCTTCCCGGGGCGCTGAATATGTCCCTCGGGGCAGATTGATCGCGGGCAAGTTTTTCGGCCTTCGGAATTTATTAAACATGAAGGAAACGTTCCCGCCCGCAGTCATCCTTCGGGAGCGGGGATGTCGAGAATTATGTCCGAGGTGGGGCTGGGGTCGCGGGTCGACGTCCATTTTTTTTTTCTTTCCCTTTTAGCCCTGATGTCGGAGCTGAAGTTGAAAATCATTTTCTAGCTACGGGGGAAGATTGTTTTATTTAAAAGGACCACCCGGAAAAGGACCGGCTACGCTTCAAGCGATTTGGCAGGAAATGAGGAGGATTCTTCCGGGCTTCGCTGGGATAAGTATGTCAAGTGGGAGATTTGTATCCTGAAACTTTCCGGATTTCCTGCGACCCGGAGAGGCCAAATCCTCCCCTCTGAAAGCCATACACTTCTAGTTTGACATGTTTATTTAGAGGTATCGGGTATGCATATTTTTTAGGGTAATCGACTGTCAATATTTCCTGTAATCGGGAATTAAAAGAAATTCATAAGTACGGAAAGGAGTTCTTATTTTATAAGGCCAATAAGCGAGACGACACGACTCGGGAAAATGGTTCCTTGAGAAACTTCTCCTTTACTTTTCTCATCCCTGCGCTCGAACAAGATTGATCGCGAGCGATTCCGTCGGGGCATTTTTCCCCATAGGAAATTTCTAAAATGTTGTCCGATCAGGATCGATTATTTGAGAAAATAGTACCTCCACGATCGGGGCTGTGATCGATGAGGCAACTTGCGGAAGTTCGTTAAATCTCCGAAGGGGATGAATAGATCCCCGGGGGTGGGATAACTACTTCATGAATAAGATTCATCTACATTTAGCAATATATCATTGGAAATTCTTCCGGAGCAGTCATTCAAATCACCTCTTAAGGGACTATTAATTACCCGTCAAAATGTAACCCCCCTAATTTGTTAGAATTTCCTACGCAATCGTATTATTTCTGCCCTTTGTTTCTCTGTAAACCTCAAAGACGCGTTCCATCTGGAAACAGGGGAATGTCTAATAACTTTTTCAGCGTCGCTTCAGCGATTACCTTTTTTGAGGCCGTGATAAGAAGAGTTAATTAAGGAGAACTCGGGAAGGATCCTTAAATCGCTTGAAGGGATGATGAACCCTACTTCAGGGAAGGGAATGACTTCTTTATGAACCCCCGGATCAAATTCCGTTTTAATGAGATTACTTTGCTCTCGCTATGGGGTAGGCTCCCATTGTTCTAGAATTTTTATTACACTAGAATTATTCGGACTCTCCCCGAGTAACAAGGGACAACAAAGCGAGCTCGATTGGCATCCCTTAATCGATGGGGTTGACGAGCCGCCACCCACGGAATGATTTAATGAATCCGTAAATCCGACTTAATGAAATACCTTGACGATCCGTAGAACTCGGCTCTAATCGTTCGAAAGTTATTTAAGATCTAAGGAGATCACGATATAATATAACAAATCCGGAAATATTTGTAGGCGCCGTCATTGTCATCCTTCTTAATAATTCCAGAGGATCAGAAAGAAGGATGGTCATCCAACCGCATATAAGGCGGTTTGGGGATGATATATCGTAGCCGAAAATCCGAGGGTAGTGCATCTTCATGGTAATCCCCTCGATAAAATGACGCATAGTTTATTCACCGGGTCGTCCTATATTACCTGGGGTGTCTTCTGTACGCCCACCTTCGGCCACGTTTATTGACGTACAATTTCCATAGATACGATCAATTACACGTAAACCATCGGAGACATCGCCGAGGCCTAACTTTGCGTGAATCTGCCTCCACCGAGTTTTCTTTTTATTTTCTTTTTTCTTCCCAACGTGCTTCATTTTCATCCATCACTCTCCGATGCAAAACGCGTAATTAAAACGTAACCGTTAACAGGGGAAATATTAATATTTCGTGCGGATAAAAATTGCAACGATTAAGGAAGTAACGAGGAAAAACGCCTTTCGTGTGAGAAATTCCATCGCAATTCTTTAAGCGAGAATGTTGGTGGTCTAATTGTTCCCTAATGCAGGTGATATTGTTTCAGCCAATCGGGAGGCCGGCTCCAGGGGAAAGCGATGCCACTGGGACCATCAAGAACAAGCGGGGACTGTCGGTGACATGTAAACTACCTGTCACGTGCATCCATGCGGAAGCGGGTTTATCCACGTGCAATTTCCATAGATACGAGCAGTTACATGTAAACCACTGGAGGCAAAGCCGAGTCTCCCCCCCAGCCCCTTTTTAAGCGAAAGATATCATTTCAAGATATCCTCAACATGACCAATATGAACTCTACAAGAAAATATCGATCCACCCTTGTTCCTCATCTTTGATGTCAAAAGGCGTCCTTAGCCAATTACAAATTACACGAAAGTCGTTTATAGCTAAAAATGAGATATAAACCCTTTATTGGTTAACGGTAAGGGTGAACATTTTTATTTGAGAATTGCCGAGAGAGGGTCGTTGGCCAATTTCGCCGCGGCTACAGGGGAAAGTGGAGGCGGTCGTCTGTCACCCGAACGATATAGATCATTTTTAATATTTATACATAAGATCGTGAGAGAGGGCCCTACTTCTAGAAAGGGGGGAATATGTCGTATTATACGGGGGGGGGGGGGAATAAAAATTGGAAATTTTACACCTGGCAGAATTTGAAAATATCGAAAGGGAGGGCGAAAAATTTCACCGCCGCGCGGCAGATGGCGCTTCGACCGGCCGGCGGGGTGGCGGGCGACGTGGAGAACCTCCGGCGACGTCGGCGTCGGCGCAGTGGCTCGCGCGCCCCCAGCCCCCGCCCGTGGCTCTCGGACGCCACTTCCAGTCGGGGTCACTTCAGTCTGCGCTCGTCCGGAGACTGCGTCGCATCTCTTCGGGCGAGTCCGAGAGGGCGCCTCCCATTGGTCGAGCCCGTGAGGCCGAGGAGCGCCCAGGTGCGCCCGGGCGCGGCCCAGATCGTCGCCGAGGCAAGTGGACCCGAAACGCCGCGGCTCGTGTGCACCCTGGGTCAGCCAGTGCGCGCCGGGAGGGGATGCCGGGCCCCGGATTGGCCACCGGGCGGGGGCCGGGCCCCGTAGGCCACGCCCCCTAAGGCCCATTGGTCCGCGGCCGAGCGCCCCGTGGAAGGGGGCCCCGGAGGCGGAGCCTCCGCCGCCGTCGACCACCACCGTCCTCATGGAGGTGGCGAAGGACCCTTGAGATTGTGCGGGGGCTTCCTCGGACATGAACGAACCCACGGTGCGTACTTCCCTGAGAACCTCTGTCTTGGGCCACATGTCTCGGCTTACCGTGTCGCCTCCGAGTGTACGGATATCCTGTGAATATTTTAAGATTATTTCCCGGTCGTTTCATTCTCCAACCTTTAATCTTTATTTTCTACATTTTGTGGATTATTATTACTAATGTCCGATGCTGCGCTTTGTGGTTGTCATCGGGCTCTTGGTGGGTGTACGAACGATTGGTATCGAACGGTAGGACTTCTTCGGATATAGAAGACGAGACTGAGAACCACTGGCCCTGGTCCCATATTTATACGAGACCTCGCATACTCCGGAGAATTTTATTCTTTCCCGCCGATGTCGATGGGAATAATGACGGAATCAATTTCACCACGTATAATTACTCCCTCCGTACGTGTAGGAGTACACTTGGCGCGAACACCCTCGGGTTATACATATTTATGGGGTATTCGGAGAAACACTCTTTTTCTGTATGCAAATCTCTTTTCCGGGGTACGTACGGACTCCACCGGTCCCCGGGGAGGGGAACCCCTTTTTGGGTCACGTCTTTCCATAAAAATGAACGGTCTACTACCTATAGTTTACTTTCTATGGCGTGGATATTGGAGAAAAAAAAACTCTATGACGCGTAATCTCCCCAGCGAGAACGAACACAGCCGGAACCGAAAGTGAGGTTAGGGACGGCCCGGCACGCGACGCGCACAACTTTTGCATCTCGTGTCTTCGCAAATCCCATCGTTTTGATGGCTAGTCACGCACAGTCCTCTATCTGGCCCGATCGACGCGTTATCAATCATACTTACGTTTCCACGGAAGCGCATCGCGGAACACAAACGCGCTGAATTATGCACTAATGCGCACTTTGCACGCACGTTTCCATAGGTTCGTTCGCGTAGTATGCACTTTCTACCCTCGAGGGTAACGAGGGTGGTAGATTTTCCTTGAAAGGTGCAGAAGGGTAGATACACTTCCATCGACGTCCCGAAGGCCAGAAAGCTGAAGAAAGTACAAGATGGCCGATTTAGCGGGACAGTATGCGATTTTGGAGCCATTCGAAAATTCATAATTTATCTTACCCCAACCGCAGTTACGCGGCAATACATAACAATTGTAAATAAATATAATTGCAGATCGATACATAATTTGCAATTAATGATGATTGTAAGATTTCTTAAAGGTTAGGTACGAAATTGAAACGCTCAGTGTTTTAATCGTTGTTTGTATTTATATTACGTTGAGATCTTGGGACGAACTTCGTATTATCCTGTTTGTTGGTCTTTTAAAATTTTCAAATTTGCCGCCGAATTTCACGGTCCAAGCATTTTGGAACATCTTGCACTAGCTAGGGATCGAGGGTCGAAAGTGTTGAAAATGTGTACACTCGGTGCAGGTGCACTCGCGAGACGACAGCGACATCTCCGCCACCTACGTAAAAACGAACGCCAAAGTGTGCACTTTTCGTTAAAGTATTGAAAGTGTACGCAAAACGAACAAACAGTGTACCTGTGGTAGAGGGAGCATTGACGAGCGCGTGTATGTGTACGTCGGGCGTTAATAATGCAGCGATGTGCGCTTAACACGCACGCCTTTGTGGCGCGTCCGTGTGGCATTGTGTGTTCTCGTATACGAGTGTGGGAACGCGCACAGACACACACGTGGCCGGGCTAGGGGGATGATAACGCAATGATGCGCACACATTCTGTGTCATGTGTTTACGCACCTACCCGGAGTCTGCTCAACAACTGCTTATGTAACTCGGGGTTGGCGACGCATTCACTCGTGTCTCACACGCACATCGTCTGTGTCACGTGGGTGCGTAAAGTGCCCGTTAGACGTCGCATGTTCGATAACTCCCGGCAGCATCGAAATTCCCTGGAAATATTGGGCAGAGTGTCACTAAGTCACGAGAAACTTTTTCAGATCTTTTTTTTTCTGGCGAAACTTTAAGGCTGTGTGAAAAAGTGGCATCATAAGGGTACCTCCTTTATGACACTTTTCTTCGGATCGAGGGGACGAGATCGTTCGCGATTTTACCACGGCCAATGTGGAGGCGCTGGGGGTCGTCCCGACACGCGGGAAATTTCGATTTTTTGAAAATAAATGTCGAATTTTCATTAAGTGATTTAGAAAGTGAAATTTAGAGTATCACTAAGCGACGAGAAACTCCTTCCGATTTTCTGGCGAAACTTTAAGGCTATATACAAAAGGGACATCTTAAGGCTTAATTTTCTTTGGATCGAGGGGACGAAATCGTTCGAGATTTTGCCACGGTCAATGTGGAGGCGCTGGGGAACGTCCCGACACGCGGGAAATTTCGATTTTTTGAAAATAAATGTCGATCAAATTTTCATTAAGTGATTTAGAAAGTGAAATTTAGAGTATCACTAAACGACGAGAAACTCTTTCCGATTTTCTGGCGAAACTTTAAGGATATATAAAAAGGGACATCTTAAGGCTTAATTTTCTTTGGATCGAGGGGACGAGATGGTGCGAGATTTTGCCACGGCCAATGTGGTGGCGCTGGGGGACGTCCCGACACGCGGGAAATTTCGATTTTTTGAAAATAAATGTCGATCAAATTTTCATTAAGTGATTTAGAAAGTGAAATTTAGAGTACAGGGACCTTCCTTAGAGCTCCCGGGGTTCACAAGGTGAAAATGTCAAAGGATTCGGCGCAGCTGGTGTTGCGAAATTTTCTATAAATTCTTCGACGGTCATTCGAATTTCCCGCGCGCAAGAGTTCCGCTCGGGGCTGCGGTCGCCGAGTAACGAAGTCTCCCGAGACTCGGGAAGTTGTCGCGAGTCGGTTCGGACGGTTCTAAGAGAAGTTCGAGATTCGGACCGATCGGTCGAGGTGCACTTTTCTTACTCCAGATGGCGCAGCAGGTCGCGCTAATTACTCGAGTTTCCCCCGAAGTTTGCTCGAAGTGCTCCGAGCGAGGGTGTTTTTTCTTTGTCGAGTACTCGGCGCATTCCGTGGGGGGGAATTTAGCTCGACTCTCGGTACGTCAAATTTATAATAACAAAGGCGCGCGAGAGTTATCGACCGTTGGGGCGGGTTTTATTAATCACTCGAGTTGGGGCACTTGAATTTCCGCCGGGTTCTCGAAGTTCCATCGAGTAGCGGACTTTTTGTCGAGTACTCGAGTCCGCTCGGGCTCGAAAGCTCGGTATGTCAGTCTGTAAAATTCTAAACGGGTTGCCGGAAGTTTAGAGGGCCGCGCGAGCACCCGACAGTTTCCCGGTTGGACGGCAGTTGGCTCGTGTTTTGCCAATTACTCGAGTTCGTCGGGTGCCCGAGTTTTACCCGAAGTTCCGCAAGTCGGATCCTCCCGATTTCCCGAGGCCGACATTTTAGACGGAGCTAACGCGACCGTTGAAGCCGACGTGCGTTGGAACGGACGTCGAGGCGGCATTCTAGCTCATCTGGGAATGACAATAGCTCGCAATACCTTTCGCCGTCTAAAAAGTCTTGCCACGCTAACGAGAGAATTGCATACCTATCGACCTGCAATCTCACTTATATACTCTCCATGTCTACTTCTCTTCTTTGGAAATTCTCGTGAAAGTTTAAAAATTAAAATATAGGGCGTCACTGGATTATTCAGTCGATCAAGTGTACATTCTCATATATAGCGGGTGGCGTGGGAAAATCTGAAATAAATTACAGGCACTGCGAAAAGGTATTTTTATTATGTCAGATATGGATCCATATATGTCTCTGAATCGAGAAATAGATATTTATCAAGTCGAAGTACCGAACTATTCCCCCGTGTTTATTAACGTATTTGGCGCGAATCTCTACCCGAGTTCCTGAACGATCCGAGTTAATTCATTTTTCTTTCAATTGAGCAAATTATATTTTTCATTTCTCGTTATGAGAAAGCTTTTCCAGGTGGATTGGTTAAAAAAATATTATGTTCTCGTGGGTGAAACTGCCAAATCGCCCCTTGACATGCCTTACTTTGGATGGTGGTTTCACCCCCTTAAAGTGTTTAACGGCAGATAATAAAAAATACGTGTCGCTTAGATTTTAGTCCACTATAACATATTATAAAAGAAATGAAATCGGAGAGATCGACCTGGGATACCTTCCTTGCTAGTCTCGGTGCTTGTCGAGTACCCGAAGTCGCAGTTGGGTTCTTTTTTTTTTTTTCCCTCGAGCGCGAGTCTCCGCGAGTCCGTGAAAGCTCGAGCACCCGACTCGAGTAGTCGCTCGCACGACGCTGCCAAATGCGAGGCGACCTAACCTCTCATCCCGTTTACACCGAACAGCCGTAAATGATCGAAGCGCATCCCATTCGCAAATAAACAGCGGCGGGCATTAGCGTCATCGCGGCCACCGAACGGATTCCCCGAAACGTCGTCCCTCCAAACAAATGAAGCCCCAGCGTTGTTTTATTCAAAACCTCGGAAATTTCGCGGCTTCAAAACCAGAGCGGAAGCATGCATCTCCGTTCCAATTGGCATTGACGCGCGCTTATGCATGCATGTCAACCTAACCACCCGACGCAACGCATTTCCCTCTGTCGGGGGAATTTTCGGAAATTCCGCGTGTTGCATTTTTCAGCCACGGCCGCCATTTTGGAATAAATCCGGAACCGCGTCGGCGCGTTAAGGTGAAGTGAACTCCCCTCAAATCAGTCGATTCGAATACACCTTTTTTATAAGGCTACTCAATCAAACCGTCCGAAACTTTGACACATGACTCGTGATCATCTAAGAATTCTTCTGACGCATTTCCAAGTTGGGATTTTTCGCAATAAGTTTTTACCCCAGCCCAGGCCAGAACCAAAATGGCGGCGAGCTCTGATATTTCGATCAGTATACAATTATTGAAGGCTCCGATATGAGAATCGAAAGGGTCAGGACAATTTTACGACAATTTAGAACACTCTGGTAATCGATAAATTCGCATTTGAACGGGGTAAAGGCAAAAAAAGTGTCTTATGCGCTTCTATGCCAAAACGATGGGAATACGAGGTCTCGGAGAGAAAATTTAATTTACCTGGAAATCACAGATGGCGCAGGGGGGCCCTCTGCAGTCAACTAGGGCCCCAGAGAGCATGAATCCAGAGGATTTCTGGAGTTTTAGTTCGATTTCTTTATAATCATTGTACAAAAACGACAGGTGGAGTATGCCATTTGGTACAATACCCAATATAATTCGACACAGCTGTCGATATAAAAACGAACGTCGGCAACGTAGGTATTTAGAAAAATCTTTATTATCGACGTCGATCAAGTTCCTCGACGAGTTTAACTTCACCTTAACCCGGGGAGTATTCCGCGCGATCGGGGCCGTCGCGTGGCCGCGTTCCTCCCGGTGAACGTCCGCGAGTGTTTATTATCAGAATCGCCATGAAAGGGAAAAAGTGATAATAAATAATGGGGAAGAGGGGGGGGAGGAAGTAGAACGGTGGCGTCGAGAATTGGCGACGGCGCCATTTTATTTACCGGGCCGATCAATTCCCACCGTCACGAGGCGTCACACGGCGTGCCGTCCTTATCGGCGTACTTGGCGTGCGTGCACGCAGCGGCTATCGATTCTTAAGGCCGGCCCGCACGTTACCTCCGTGACGTCACTACCCGCGGGCAGACGCTTTCGATCGACGCCGCGACGGCCTCTGCGGCGGTACCAACCGAGAGGACCGAGAATGGTCGGCGGTTCCTGGTCTCTCCCCTGGGATTCTTCCGGGATATGAAAACCCCGGAGGTTCGTCGACGACCGGTTTCCCCAATATGGCGGCCGCCAGATGGCGCGGCGCTCGCGGTTGACTTTGAGGTTAGGACGGAGCAATGCCCGTTACACCTCGCACTAGGACAAGGGATGTGTCCTATGGTTATGGGGAACGGTAATCGGAATCAAGGAACAGCCGGGGGGCACATAACCTCACATCTTGCATTGTCCTGCCAGTTTTGAATATTAAAAATCTCAAGATTCTTTAATCTTGATATTTTGAGAACGTTGGGTCTGCCATTAATATTTTTGTCGGTAGGGGAGGAAGATTGGGTGGTGTTATCGAGTGTTTCTTATTTTCTCCTTGTTTCTTCAGATCGTGATGTCATTACGATGGCGGTTCCCCAACATGGCGGCCGCCAGGTGGCAGTGGTAAACCGACTTTGAGGTTAGAATCGGGCAATGTCGGTTACACCTCGCAATAGGACAAGGGATGTATCCTAGGTTATATAAGGAAACTGTGGGAAGGGCTGGGAATAAGGACCAAGGCACAGCTGGGGGAGATTGCTTTCGATTTCTGGCGGAGACATAACCTCACACCTTATGTCTTACTACGAGTGTTGAATATCGGAAATCTCGAGAGGCTTCTATTATTTTGAGAAAATTGGGGCTGTAAGTTTTGCCATTTGCGGGTTACCAGTAATATGGGTCGGAGGGATCGAATAATCTTTATCTCTGGTTCCTTTAAATCGTGACGTCACTATCGGCGGTCAGGCGCTTTCGATCGAAGCTGCGACCACCCGTAGGTGTTAACAGGGTGGAGGGGGCGGAAGGAGATTCATAGTTTCCCCTAGGGGACCTCCGGGATATGGAACCCCGAAACTTCGCGACTCCGTCGACTCGGCAGTGCGCTGGTTACGCCAATATGGCGGCCATAAGTTTGCACAGCAAGCGAGCTTATCAGATCTGGTTGACTTTGAGGTTAGGGCGCACTAATGCCCGCATTACGAACCAATCCATGGAACGGGGGATGTAAAGGCAACAGTCCCCGACTTTTCCACTTTGCAATGGTAAATATATATATCCCATTTCTCGAGATTGATATCTACATTTACGCGACAACGGCAGAACCGAGGAAGACATTCCTTTAAAGAGAGACACTTTCTCTAAGTAACTCGAGGGAATCTCAAAACTATGGAATTATACCGACCCCTTCAATAGCGCCCACACGTCGGCGACAAAAGTGACCCGGTTATGGAATTAAGTTAACTCCCGTACATCGGCCATTTCTAACCTTCAAATTCTAGCCAGACTACTACGTAGAGGTTAATAATGCAGCAGGTGGTAAAATCAGCATTAATGTACAAAAGTATTGGCGAGGTTTCTTGTCTATTTTGTTTTTTTCTCATTTTCTCAGAGACAGGTCTGTTCCGTTTACATGGGTATTTCGCAAATATATAGCCGGTTTAACGTAAATCCGGAGAGTGCGGCAAAAAGATGAAGCTTAGATATGCAGTTTCGGTGTAATCCATACCTTCAGGTTAGAGAGCCTTCTTGTAAGAGTCAACCTGGGGATCGGCCTTAATTATTCAGCAGCGGTGGAGCTGCGGCTTGGCGGAGGCGCTGCAGCCACCCAGTCACACAGTCGAGACTCCGCCGCGCGCCGCTGGCGGCGCTGGCGGCGCTGGGGAGCTTTCCAGGAACCGTAAACGCGTGGACGCGCATAAATTTCGTGGAATCAAGAATTAGGCGATTAATGCGAGGCTCGGGCGGCCTCGAGGTGCCTCGGGAAAAGTGTGGATTTCACTTTGCGATGCAAATCTTCGTTTGAAGCCCCTCGGAGGGCGGTGTAATAGATTGCAGATTTACGGCTGAAAAGTTATCGGAAGTTCGCCCCGGAAGGCCCGCTCTTGTGGGAAACGAGTGGGCCTTGATTTTAACCGGGAAAATCGTCCGTAAATCATTAAGCTCGAGGAACTAGAGAGTGTAATTGGCGTTCTCCTTGCGTGTCTAGGGAAAAAGTTCCCCTCGGGTTTCCCGGAAAATGCGTATCGTGCCGATATACGTAACGTCTCGCACTTTTGTCTTTCTCTCGGATATGAAAGAAGGCTTTCTGGAAACCGTATATGCGGAGGGAAAGTGCGCTTAAAGCGGGGTGTGTGGTTACTGCTAATGTGTTTGAACTACTTCCCACCCCGTACAAAACCGCCCTCAACGCCTATAGTATATATGTACTAAAACTTGCTACTCCCGGTAAGGAGAGATTTTATGTACCGTGGATTTCGCTACTCGAACGTGTACCTCGCACCCCTCGATTAGAAATACATTTGGACCTTAGGACAGATATTTCAGACTTAAGAAACATTAATTTATAATTATTCAGCCACCACAATATCCCTGGAACCGTGAATAAATTCGGGTAACTGCGCCGTATCGAATGTAATTTTTCTTAATTTTTTTTTTATGAGCGATCGAACGAAATTTTTACTTCGTTTTGACGTTTCGGTCTTTATGAGAAATTCGCTTCAGATGTGAAATACGGAGCTGCGATGATTATTGGCAAGGCGCGCTCAAATTCGACCTGGAAGGGCACTTAAACTCGAGTCTAGGTTCAGATAGCATGAAATTGACGTCCAAGGTATGTCGACGAGGAAAAGGCCTTTTATGGCTCTTTCGGAACCACAGTTTCCGTTGGACTTCCTTCTTCGTCGCTTTTTACGAGCTCCCTTTCGCCGAGGTTTCCCGGCTTCGGGGAAACTCGGGGGAAACTTCAGGGAAATCTTTTATGGATCGGTTGTAGTATCTGGATAGTCGCTGCCAATGGCTTTTAACCACTTCCCGTACTGCATTAAACATTTCCAGTGTCTATAATGGACCTTAAGGACTTTAAGGACTTCCGCGCGATCCTGAACCCTCCTAAAAAATATCAAAGTTTCGATTTTCCGTCACTTGCCTCTCTAACCTCGAGATGATGTTCTTCAAAGTCCCCAAAGTCGATTTTCACCGACTCGAAATTTTGCAAAAAATTTCCAGGCGAGTTAATGTTAATAATTAATTCCTAGAAATTAAACGAGGTTGATATGTATACCTTGCGCATGTATTGGGCGCCATTTTTTCATCGGAAAAAATTCATTAAGAGGGTCGAGGACCTCAAAGCAAGGTTCGGTTGCACGTATAATTTCCTTTAACTGCGATTTTTCTAGAACATCGACGAAACGTCCTGTGTATATGAAAAGTTTTTAAAAAATAAGCTTAGTTGCTCCCGCAAGGATGGCCGCCATTTTCTAACGTCCGTTAAACGCCCGGCATGTTAAATTAATTTCTAAAATGCCTAGGGAGGTTTCCAGGAACTATAAAGGCCTGGGCGTGCTTAATTTTGTACGGCTGGAAACGTGTGCTTAAAGTGGAACTGTTTGTTACTGTAAACGGCTGAAAATTACGTTTCCCTACCGCACGAACTCCAGTTCTCGGGTTCTCCTCGTTTTTCTTAAACAGGCATTCGGTTATTCCCTCATAGTTCGTGTCCGGAGACTGAAAAGCGTAACGCCGTTCTCAAATCTAAATATTCATAAAGAGGAGTGTGTTTTCGAGAAATGAAATTACACCTCGTGCTAGCCCACTTCGCCCGCGTATCTTTCTAAATATTATTGCACGTTGTAAAAATAGAGGGCGGCGGAAACCGGGCCGAGGGCAGCCATATTGGTCTCGTTCGACATCTTTTACGCTCTGTTCACTTGATCTTCTATTTAGCTGAATCGATTCCTCTTCCGCAAATATTTCTATACATTATATAAATACCCGAAAGAGGGGCGCGAAAGAGACAGGCATACTGCACCGTCTAAATCACTTCGTGTGTAGAGGAACGGCATTCGGCCATTTTGTTTTTGCTTCTTTTTCCCCATTTTATCCGCTTCTCCTTCGACCCTTATCCCAGTGGGGCTATTTTTAGGCACTCGAAAAATAATGTAATTGAAATTGACCTTTTTTTGTTTTTTTTAAATATCTATTTGCAGTTCTGGCCGACGGTAGCAGCGCCGTGGTCAACATGAACCTAATCAACATGGACGCGGAGAACCGCGTCGTCCTGAACGTCGGTGGGATTCGTCACGAGACGTATAAGGCGACCCTGAAGAAGATACCGGCGACGAGGTTGTCACGCCTGACGGAGGCCCTCGCGAACTACGACCCCATCCTCAACGAGTACTTCTTCGACAGGCACCCTGGAGTCTTCGCCCAGGTCCTGAACTACTATCGCACCGGGAAGCTTCACTATCCCACCGACGTTTGCGGGCCCCTCTTCGAGGAAGAGCTCGACTTCTGGGGCCTCGACTCCAACCAGGTCGAACCCTGCTGTTGGATGACCTACACACAGGTAACGGCTCTCAGGAAGCTCCGTTTAATTCATTTCACAGTCCTTTGACGACGTTAACGCAGTTTCGCGGTTTATTTGCGCCGCTTCTCGCTCAACTAGTCGAAAGGAATGGCCGGAGCTTTGTGCGCGCGGTTTCGAGATCCACTGTGAGAGAAATTCCACCTACCGTGGATTATTCTACCAGTTCTACCGCAAGTTTATACGTAGTGAACTGCGCGAACCCATTATCCAGCATTTTAAACGTTAAAACCTTGTTAACCAGGGTGTCAGGATGCATTTTTCTCTATTTTCCGTGCGGATGCGGAGATGCGAGCGAACTGGAGCTTCGCCACGCTACCACGCGGCGCTGCGAACGAAGGGCCGCCCCCATTCCGTCTATCCATCAATTCGGAAGAAATTCCACCTACCGTGGATTATTCCACCGGTTTTACCGCAAGTTTATACGTAGTGCACTGCGCGAACCCATTATTCAGGTATTAAACGTTAAAACGTTCTTAACTAAGGTGTCAGGGTGCATTTTTCTCTGTGTTTTCCGTGCGGATGCGGAGATGCGAGCGAACGACTGGAGCTTCGCCGCGCCACTACGCGGCGCTGCGAGCAGAGGGACACCCCCCACTTCGTCTATCCATCAATTGGACACAAATGTCGTTACTGGCATATTCGCAATTCTCTTTCCGACCGTAAATTACCGAGGCGTTTTTAATAACTCTTATTACGAGCCATTATTTCACGCGTCCTCGGTAACCTGCATTTCGGTCGGTCTCGGACGCGCAGCGTGATAAATGCGGCGGAATGTTTGTTAATCCACGGACAGATATAGAGGCTGGGAATGGGCGTAAAACGGGTCATTGATTGGATAGTTTTCCAACGGAAGGGGGGAAAAAAAATAAGAGAGAGAGAGGAGACTCGGGAGAAATGCCGGCCGGAATTTCGGGGACGATCGATCCGGGCAATAATTAATGAATCGGGCAATCGGCGAATCGAATGCCCCAAATCGCCGTCGAGTTCCAAAATGGCGACTCGCGCAATTATCCCTCCGACGAGCCCGGAAGTCGCTCGCCTCTTTGTCGCTTAATCCACTCGCGGAAGCCTTAAGCCGGACCTTTAAAGGTTCGTTTCCACTTGGCCGCTCCGCCGATCGCACGGAATTACTTCCACGCTTCGCGGCTCGAAGTCTGCGGGGAATCTCCGTTGGAAACTTCATTTGCTGCTCCGTGATCATCGTGGGTGCTCTTCTGACTCAAACGCGCGCTCAAAGTAGATCAATTAGTCCCGGAAATCAATCCTTAGTTCTGATAAATTATTCCTAGACGTTTCGGATTTTCGAGACACGGCGAGGAAGTGATTTTGAATCTCCCGCGCAGTTCGGTTTGAAATTCGGCGCGGCGAAGGGCTGCACTGAGGAAAAAGAAATTAGTTGACCGAAACAAATATATATATATTGTTGCTCGAATCACATACAATTGCAAGAGACAGTCATTCCGTTGAGGGGAAAAATTATATCGCTGGATTAAACGAATTTTGTTTACTCTTCCTGACATTACTTTGCTCGTATCTGATCGCAGGTTTGTAGCGATGGATATTTCTTTGAGAACAAATTCCCTTAAAATCGTGACATGTCTCGGTGATTTTTAGTTGACTTTCGCGTGATCTCGGACATTAAAATCCATGGTTTCCGGGGTAAATAACCCCTCGGTCGCGAATCTAAGAAACTCCTTCCCAGGAAATCGTTGAAGTTGTTACATTTTTCCATACAGGCAAACCTGGACTCGGGAAATTAATCGTGGACATATTTTGTCGTTAGTTTTGTAATTAATTTCCGCGAGGATTATGTCGGCCGACGAAGAGGCGCCTTGGAGGAGAGAAACGGGCCTCTAGGAAGTCGTCGCTTTGGTGCTTTATTCCTAGAGCATATAAGAGGCATAAATGAGACCTCATTTTGGAAGTGCTCTAATCGAAGGAAATTACTTTCACGCTTCGGCCCGAAGTCTGCAGAACGGTGGAACAACCTTCATTTGCCGCTCCGTAATCACCATGGAGGGTCTCCTAATTACGAGCCGTCTATGTCCACATACACTAGGAGGAATATGTTCTAGAAACTGGATAATTAGTTCTAACGAGACGCCTTCTGCCTCGTGGTAAACAAATAGGCGGCGGGAAGCGGACGGATTAAACAAAAAAGTTCCTGGTCTCTTGTCACGATCGTGCAATTTTTAAGGTCCTCGCTTTTTACGCTCCTCGGCCGGTCGAATTAAAACATCCAACGCGAGAATTATATTAAATATTTAGATCGCGTAACATTATACTTAACCGATTTTCTATGGATCCTCGGTGAAGATCGACCACTTCGGAAGGCGGATAAATCCCGTTCCTTAATTCCGTGATTTTATTCCCCCATTTTTTATTTTTATTTTTATTTTCTTTCGCCAGGATGCCCAATTAAGCCTGCAGATTTGCCGAACGGCTGGCGCCGAAATTAATCACGATTACCGGTAATTTTGGGAAGAGGGCTCGATAATTATCGACCCTTCCGATCTTATTCCCGAGCCTTGGCTGGGCTTATCGGATTCCCACAAACTATCGGCCTCCGGAAATGTTATCGGGATCTCGGAGCCGAGCCAGCGGGATTTTTCGCGGACTCGAGGAGTCCTGCACTTTGCATTTCACTCCCGAGCAGTTATCGATTGGGCCGGAATCGCGGAAAATCTCGAGGCCCGTGGGATTAAATTCTAAAGACGGTGGAAAAGCCCTCGTTCGATGTCTCCTCTTCCCTCGCTCATCGGGCATAGTTTTGCATCCCGGCGAACCACTTCGCCATCTCATTCTGCCAATTTCTCCGATCGGGCGCTTCACCGGAAGTTCACGTTCCCCCCTGCGCGAAATTTCATTTTCTTTTTTCCCTTTCCCCCCGATTTTTCGAGTATCCTTGCCAGCGAGCTCCCCCTTTCCTCTTCTATGCCAGCGTCGATTTTCCTTCCTCTGTTCCATTTAGCTGGATTACGGTTTTTCCCCCTTTTTTAGGTTAAGTATAAAGCTCCCCTTTCCCGCATTCTCCCCATTTGGGCATTAACCCTGATTTTCCTTGTTTCAGTTCTTTCTCTATCATCTTAGTTTAAGTTTTCCCTTTAGCATTCTTTAGCTCCCCTTTCTACGTCTTTCTTTTACCTTTGACGTCACGATTTTCACTGCTTGGGCATGAGCCTCAATTTTCCTTGTTTCAATTTCCTTTCGGCATCTTCTCTCAGCATTCTTCAGTTTTCCTTTCAACATTTCCCTAGCTTTAGGTTCCCTTTAAACGTCTTTGTTCCAGCTTTGACTTAGAGATTCCCTGCTTCGGTATTTCTTTCACCGATCTCCACGTCTTTGGTCTCTCTTTTGGCATTTTCTCTGCTTTAGTTAGCCTCATATTATTATTCTTCCTCCTTTCCGGTAATTAGTACGGGCTTTTCCCACCTACTCGACGGAGGTGGGCCAAGACATTCGCATGCTAGAGGAAGTTTTCCGGCCGTGCAGCGGCTCCACGGGCCCAGAAAGAAAATGGATCACGCTCGCTAGAGCCGCCGCCTCTTGAAGCGCTTTTTCACGAAAGCTGCGACAAGATTTGGTTCGCTCACAAAGAGGCACCTCGAAAACCTTAGATCGCGTGGATGCCTCTCGACTTTGTCGGACGACACTCGCGCGATCCCGAGGATTTAGGGGAATTTCTCGAGGCGGAAAGGAAGGCGTTTGAAGCGCCGACTTTTCTTCGCGCCATTTTGCACGCGGCAAATCTTATTCTTGCAATTTCGCCTCCTCGAGCTGCGGTTTATGAACGGGTATTCCCGTTTTCCATTACGTTGAGGGAGGCTTTTCCACATTTCACAGCCAAGTGTGCGTCGCAAATGCTCTCGCTGTTTATTCAAATTAAATGCCCCGAAAAGGAATCCTTGAACGGCGAGTCCTCGGAATGTCGGCTTTCCGAGATCCTCAGTTATTTCATTATTTATTTCCCCGGCACACGTAGAAAATTCATCAAGGCCCTCTTTGAGTGCCCCAAACCTCCTATTGTGTTATCTGAACTGCATTGCAGAATTTTCCGTTCCTTGTTACAGCTACAAAACAGACTGCCTAACCACCTTGGATTACGTGGTATTCCACTTCGCTTTGACTTTGTCAATTTCCCCTGACAAAGACTTTCTTGCATCCCGGAAGAGGCTCTTTGAATGCGAAAAATTAGCTCCTCGAATTCCCGTTTTTCAATTCCAACGACATCTCTCGGAAGACGGACTTAGAGGCGCTTCGACCTAATCGACAATGAGAAAGGAGAACAAAGAAAAAAAAATCCGGAATAATAGAAAATATTAGTGGCAAGTTTTCTTAACTGGCAGATAGTAAAATCGTCCTCGTTTTAATGCTATGTATTGGTTTTACTTTAATTCGTTACCATTTGTCACAATTTGCCCCAGAGATTGTTCCCGCGGCTTTATCAATTTTCTCGAGATTTTGGGTAAATTAATGACTTTTTAAGTCGCAGGTCGGCCGGGAATGCCCCCTTTATCTCTTGAGATCCTATTTGTCAACTCGAAGTCTATTCTCTTCGGTTCAGACAGGTGGGAAGTACACACGAGACAAGTGGCTCGCGAGATCAGACGGCCGCATGAGTCTCGCGCCAAGTACACACGTGTGCTCGTACAGCGACGCCCCATCGATTTGTTGTATCAGATAGGAAAGGAATTAAGTCCTCCAGCATCTTTATTCTAGGAGGTGCTTTTGTGCCCCCGAAGTGGCAGGGCCAACCGGCTCGAGTTTTCCTAAACTTCGCGGAGGCCCTTAAAAGAATTACCCCGGAGACAATGGCCAGGAGCTGGTAGGAACTTCCTTTTGTCCCGCCGTACCTGGCATTCACCTCAGGTGACAATGGACTCCTCGCATTACTTTTCTCACCCCGAAATGTTGTAACGCAAGAGCTATCACGTTACGATCAGCTGATTCGAAATTACCTCGAATTGATGTCCATCCAAAATGATGCGAAATGAAAATTAGGTGATCAGTACATTCATCCTCCTCCATGTGTATATCTCGAAGAGTTCTCGCATTTTGCATCCCCCCAAAAAATAAAAAAAAAATAAAAAGGAATTAGGTCCACGCAGCTTAATCACCGTGAGAAGCGCCGATGGTGGACGCGTCACGATCAGCTGATTCGACGTTTCCTCGAATTCATGTCCGTCCAAAATGAAAACCAGCTCGTCACTGCTTTCATCCTCCCCCATGTGTATATCTGGAAAGGTCCTTATCACTTTTTTAACACTTTGCGCCCCCCTAAAAAAAATTAGGAGCCCGCAAACTAATCACCGTGAGAAGCGACAATGGCGGGAAGCTGGAAGTGCGTCTACAGGGGTAGACATGGAAAAGAGGAGGGTCCGTAAAAGAGATCCGTCCGGAGTCCGACATCGTAAAACCCTTCATGGGATTCGTAGTCACTGGAGCGAGTGCACGTAAAGCTGCTTATGTGTATGGAATCGTATGGCGTGGAGGTGTGCCCCCTTCTCGGTCCCCCCCCCCTGTAATGCGAAATTTATTTCCTCGTTTCTATGTCGCGGGCGCACGTGAGGGCGCATCGACGAGGGGCGAGAAAGGGAAAAAAATGGGGGAGAGAGAGAGGGCGAAAAGTGTCGCGTCTATCGACCGGCCGCTCTAGAAATAAAATAGATCGACCCCGCGGAAAAGCGCGGAAGCGCCGGCTGTCTTTCGAAATCGCCGATGTGTCCTCGTTTGCCCGGGCGAGGACGTTTAACGTTTCCCCACCGCCTTAAGGGTTGAAAGGGCCCTTTCAGGGCGGAAAATCGATGCCGAGGCGAGGCTGCATCATTTAGATCGGCACCGGTCGATTTCGCGAGGCCCTCGTAAGAGTTTCACGAGAAACCGCAGGGTAAACGCCACCAGTTCCCTCGGGAGTTCCCCGGGACTCCCCCGGGTTTTCGCTCCGAAACGAGCCAGGAACTTCCCCGCAACTACTCTTAAACATAATTTTGACTTCCACGAGTTATTCCTAGGAATTTTTACTTCAATTAGAACGTCGCTCCTCGAGTACAAGTTAACTAAAATTTCGGAGCCGCGCCAGGAAAATGGCGATACCTAGGAAGGAGAATAAAACGCAAAAATCAATATTAATACGAAGCAAGAAATGTTGACACGAGTTATTCCTAGGAATTTTTATTTCTATTAGAACGTCGATCCTCGAGTACAAGTTAACCAAAATTTCGGAGCCGCTCCAGAAAAATGATACCTAAGAAGAGAAACAAAACGAAAAAAATAAAAATTAATAAGTGGCAACATCTGAAAATGCCATCGGGTAAATTGGAGGCTGAAGTATGTCCTTTAGGATAGGGTAAAGTGATATCGGGTTTGTTAATAAATTATTGTATCCGTAATTATCGGATTTAAGATTTTGATTTTTAGGTTGAGCAAGTTTTTAGGCGACGTGGGGTATATTAAATGTTTAAGGACTTTCTAATGGCTGCATGGCGAGGTACTCTCGGGGTTATCGGGGTTTTAGGTCCCGGTGGGTTTCGTTTTATTTTCTAATTAATACGAAAGTCTTTTCACCTTGTTGGGTGCCGGTTTCTGCGTCGCCTGTCAATGGCGGAAAATCTCCCGGATTTTCTGGCAGGGCTCGAGGATCCCGATGAAACCGGAACAAGGGAAAAAAGAGGGTGGGAGGGGGGAAAGAAAAAGGTAGATTTCGCATGAAACTTTGAAAACTGTTGAACAGGATTTGATTCGGAATGGGCGGGATTCTACGGAAGCCCAGAACGCCCCACGACCCACTTTCGGGAAAGATGTCGAATGGAACTCCCCCTTTCAGGGGAATACCTTTTTACGTCACTGCTTCCTCCATTCTTACAAAGTTGCACCAGCTCGTGTGCTCGGATTGAGTCAAGTTCGGCATTCCTCCATTTTTTTTCTTCTTTTTTTCCCCAGGCCGCTCGAAAACCCGATATCTAACCCTGGGGTTCCAAGTTATCGGGAATTCGAGGATAACTTCCGGGAACCCGATCGCCTCCGAGGAACTCGAGGCCCCGATAACTCGAGTTTCCAGAGGGCGATTCGATAGGAAAAACTTGAGGAACACCAGAACCTTTCCGAAGAAAAAAAAAAAAGTTCATTCACCAATGATATGAATGTTTGCACTTGATAACAGAATCACCGGTGGCCGCGTTACCTTACCACCAAGAATTGAAAGCAAGAAATTAACAATTGATAATTTATCATCCAGCTCCCGGAGATTGATTTTATTTCCTGTTTTTTACCATTTTTCTTTTCTTTGGCGTAATAATTCCCTTTCCGCAAATTCTAGGGAATTTCCATAATTATTTCTCGGTGCTGCAATTTTATTGGTTACCGGTGTCGAAAAGAAAAAAAAAGAAAGAAAATGAAAATTCATCGAACCTAAGAGATATTTCGTTAATTCAAAGAGTAATTATTTGACTCAAATAAACTCGAATGACATGGATGCAAAGTTTACTCGGAATTATGACTATTCATTTCAGTCAAATAATTGTTCTTGGAATGAAGAAAATATTTCTTTGGTTCAATGAATTACTTTTTTCTTTTTCTTTTCTTTTCTCAGGGGATATGATAAAAGCTTGAACGTGGTGGAGTTAGACTTAAGGTCGGGATTTCAGTTTAGGTGACTAAGCCCTCTTTGAATATTCGATTTCCAGCACCGGGACACGCAGGAGACCCTAACTGTCCTGGACAGGTTGGACCTGGACACGGAGAAGCCGAGCGACGAGGAGCTGGCCAGGAAGTTCGGGTTCGAGGAAGCCTATTACGAGGGGACCCTGAACTGGTGGCAAAAGCTCAAGCCCAAAATGTGGTCCCTCTTCGACGAGCCCTATTCCTCGAACGCAGCCAAGGTTGAACTTCCTCTTCCCTATGTTGAGTGAAACATTTATTTTCCGAGCGAAATTCATACGGCGACGTTAAATGCCTATTGCTGAAAAAAAAAGACCAATAAATAAATAAGTGAAGAAAATTTCAGACACACTGATCTTATAGGAAACGTCAGCATCGCAAGTCAAACTATAAGTCGCGTCAAATGGAAATGCAAAATTAAACCGATTACGAAAAATTCACTTCAGTCATTAAAAATATTAACGGTAGTAAAGTCATTTGGATATAATATATATATATTTACCTCGAGCAATTTACTCGATAGCGAGACGTTCATTCCGAGAAAGTTCAACGATGACGGACAGTAAATGGTGGAGTTAAGCTTAAGAGAAAATTGAATATCGCTTGAAATTCTGTTAATTTTGTTTAAGCAACTCTGCAATTTTAGTTTGTTGACCAATTCTTCTTTTCTCTTTTTTTTTTTTTCATTTTTCGAGCAGTTCCTTTTTCCTAGAGGGTGATTTCTTCTCTCGGAGTAGCTTAGCCTAAAGACAAAACGTCCGATTTCCCGACGCCGGATAAAAGGGGCGTCGACAAAGCTTAATGGGAAAGAAAGACGTTTCACGGCGGCGCCATTGTTGTCAAGCTAGGTTGACTTCGTTAATAGTTTCCCGGTCGAAGGAATGTCCACGTGGGAGCGGGAAAGTCCTCGAAAGTGTTGTCGCCCCTCGGAAAGTGTCAGGAATGGGCGATCGCGGGAAGGCTTTTTCTTTTTTTTCCTTTTCGAAGGGAAGGAAAGTATGGGACCCGAGTTTGGTGAGAGGGAAAGAAAGGAGCCCTTTCTTCCTGACCCTCTTCAAGGGTTCCTTCGACCCTCCTGATCCTCGATAAAGCTCTCTTATCAATAATTTTGGATACGTTCGCACCCCAAAGTTCGAAAACACCCGGCGAAATGAAATACCACACGTAACAATTGGCACAATCTTATCGTCCGGATAATTCCAAAATCAATCGAGAATTTATGAGAAGACCCACAATCAACATTTGCCACGAAAGTTTAAATACTAAATATTCTTTCCATTGAATCGTCAAGTTACCAGAAATACCTGGAGTTCTCCTGGAGCTTTTCTCCTCGATTTCTCGTGAAACTCGAGAAGGCAGAGTAGTGTCGATTGATATAATCGTATATAATATTTCAAGATAATTTTATTTTCCTTAACACATTCCCGACCGGCAAATTAATTCCGATTCAAATACTGAGTACCGGCGAAAATAATGAAACTCTGAAACTGGTTGACGCGAACTTGTATCGTGTATCGTCATGGACGTGATTCACGTCAGCGGCAATCAGGAATAGAATTTAAAATGACGTGAATTCACGTCAGCGGTCCCGAATGTGTTAATATATAAATATTTGCGTTCTCGAGGATTTTCGGGAAAATGACGATTAGACTCCTCTAAACTAAATGCTAAATTTCAGCTGTTTTCTCATCCTATAGGTAATATATCGCGTTTAGAGCTGTAGGCGCAGCTGTCGCTGGAAAGTCAGTCTTGCTAGAGCTAGGTTCGAGTTTCCGGAATAATTCTACGGCCTGTTCGTAGAAAATGGTCGAAATAACGCTTCCCGCGAGATTTGAGCCTGGCTTAACCCTAACGCGTAGTTTGGCGGCGATCATCGATAATTCCGGGTAGGCCGCACCATCTGGTTTGGCAAGGTCAATTTGAACAACAGGCGGCGTTAATTGCGAATTCGGGAGATCGTTAGTGGGTCTTGAATGCCAAAACGCAGGTTCGGATGACCGGAGGTTCGGCATAGGTTGGCTCGTGCGGTCGGGTCGGGGATTAAGGGGACACGAAAGCGTGATCCAAGGGGTCGACCGTCAACGACACTTTTCTCCAAACTGGAGCTGCCTAATCATTTGAAACTTTTCCACGTGAATATAAAAAGGCTAAGGAAGGTCGCGATCCCGAAGGAATTCCATTTCTATGTTAACAAAGATTTTCTTGATTTTTTGAAATTCCTGGAAGAAGTTAAGGGTCTTAGAGTACACATACAGGTCGATAACCGAAGTAATGTTTGCAGATAATCGGGGTGATCTCGGTGTTCTTCATCTGCGTGTCGATCCTGTCGTTCTGTCTGAAGACGCACCCGGACATGCGAGTCCCGGTGATCGTGAACAAGACGGTGAAGATCAACAGCACGACCTCCTGGGCGCTCGACAAGACGCACACGAACGCCCACGACGCGTTCTTCTACATCGAGTGTTTGTGCAACGCGTGGTTCACCCTGGAGTTCCTGATCCGGATAACAGCGAGCCCGAACCGGTGCGACTTCATCAAGAGCTCGGTGAACCTGATCGACATGATCGCGACAATGAGCTTCTACATCGACCTGGCGCTGCAGAAGTTCGCCAGCCACCTGGAGAACGCGGACATCCTCGAGTTCTTCAGCATCATCCGCATAATGAGGCTGTTCAAGCTGACCAGGCACTCGTCCGGGCTGAAGATCCTGATCCAGACCTTCCGTGCCTCCGCCAAGGAGCTGACCCTCCTGGTCTTCTTCCTGGTCCTCGGGATCGTCATCTTCGCCAGCCTGGTCTACTACGCGGAGCGGATCCAGTACAACCCGAAGAACGACTTCAAGAGCATACCGCTGGGCCTCTGGTGGGCCCTGGTCACCATGACCACGGTCGGCTACGGGGACATGGTCCCCAAGACCTACATCGGCATGTTCGTCGGCGCCCTCTGCGCCCTTGCTGGTGTCCTAACGATCGCCCTGCCGGTGCCCGTGATCGTCAGCAACTTTGCGATGTATTACAGTCACACGCAGGCGCGAGCGAAGCTGCCCAAGAAGAGGCGAAGGGTCCTTCCGGTGGAGCAACCCCGAGTTCGGGCCCCTGGGGCCCCACCCCCGCCCGGGGCCCCCGGGGCTGGGCCCCCTGGTGGCGTCCCCCAGGGATGCGCCCATCAGGGACCCTATCTGCCCCCGGGCGCAGGCTCCGGGGGCGGATGCGGACCGGCCCCACAGGGGAGGAGGATGAACGCCGTCAAGACCGGGCACCCCAAGGATCCGTTCGCCACCAAATCAGGTTGGATCTTATGGATTCTAGCCCTCTCACAGACCCTCGAGTCCTTTTCAACCCTTCCGATACCAGCCTGCCTTAAGGTGTACCTCTGTACAACTCTCGAATGATTCTTCTCATCGCGAGCTCCTTAATAAAATTCCCCTAAAGTCGAAGAGCCACAAAAAAAGAAATAGAAAATTCGAGTAAACTTGGGAATCGATGCTGAATTTTAACTGGGGATTGTTGACTATCAACAATCTTTCTACTTATGGGGAATTAGAAAAGTCCGCAAGGTGGAATCTTAATCGACTAAACCGCAAAATTTATGTAGAATACGTAATTGATTGAATGCATCTGCCTTTTAAAGCGACTCCACAGCTAGGGCGGGATTTTTATGCAGTTGTTTAATGCGATCGCTCGGAAAGTAGATTGAAAATTTCTCGAAATTAACCCTTTTTGTGGGGATGAACATTTTTACCGTTTATTTTCTGTACGCGGGACGGTATGTTCGAATCGGCCTTTAAGGGCCTTGGGTATTTCGTTCTCTCGGAATTGCCAAGATTTTCGTGATACCGTAGCGAGTTATCGGACGTTCGATGCTCATATCGAGAGAGCCCCTTGAGTAGGCAACTTCGATCGACTTGGGATAGGTCAAGTTTCAGGCCGCTTCCGCAGGATTTTCCAACGGGACGCGATTTATCGACACTAAAGCCGCCCTTAACGTGGCTGGTGGTTCTTTCTATTTTTACATAGAACGCTCGTCATTGTTCATTTATTCTAAGGGGCGGAATTAGCTGTGGGAATGCAAAACCTGCCCTCGGTTTGCGGTCCCCCCTCGCGTATTGTTCGGAACTTGGGGACAACTTCCTGGCCATGGCTCGCGATGGGTTAGCGTTTCCGTCTTTAAGTCGAACTCGTTAAAAAGTTAGTGCCGCAAGGGCACTGGGGAGGAGGAGGTATTATGCATTGTCCAGATCGCGACTCGTGACCCCGATATCGATTTTTTTTCCTGCATTATGGAGAGACATTAGGCATGAATACGGGACAAGGAACATCTTCAGACTTCGACCGATTATAGGAGGACACGTGGAAATTTTGCAGATTTTGGGGTGGTCCTAGACGGTCCCTGGTACCATGTGCGATATTTCTTACCAGGGACCAGTCGGGACCATTTGGGATTATGTGGCAAAACCTCAAAAGTCAGGGACCACCCGGGACCAGTTCCCTTCCTCCTGGAGAACGCTGATCGCGCCCCTCGATTTACGCGGTCTCGAAACGTCATTATTGACTTTTTGTTGTCGCCAAGCTGTTTAATTTTAATTCCAAGGGATTTTTATCCGCGTGAAACGTAAACTCAGGGACGGCTGTAGCTTTATAATTGGCCCTATCGCTCCAAATTTCTATACAGGAAGGATATAAAAAAGACAATAAATTAATAATTAAAAGCGACAGGTCGTTTTTTTCCGACTCGTTGATTGACACGCGTTTATTAACATTCATACGCGGGTTAGCGAAGCGTGCGAAATATTCTCCTTCCCCGAGGCGAGGGGGAGAATTAATTATTAAATTTCCGCCGACTGACCGATAGGATATTTTATCCGCTCGCCGAAGCGCAGCTTTTTATTTAAATCAACCTTTTCCCCGTCTCAATTAAATAGTTTAATTGTTACCTTGTCATTCAATCGATTCCCTAACTTCCAGTAAAATAGAATCGAGGGTGTACGAATAGGTCGGAGTGAATTCCGGGCGGATTATAAACATTTAATTGTCTCGGCCAAGTTTAATTGATTCAATTAAGTGAGCCTGGGGGCTAATGCTTTTTTTTTCTCTGTTTCTGTTTAACTCTATCTCGATGATTGACTTCCCCGAGTTTTCGAAAATAAATCCCGACTCGCCATTGGAATTCGGTTTGGTTGTTATTCCTCGTTAGGGCGGTAATTGCCGAATGTGCATATGGGAGATATAATGAGGTGTACTATAGATGACGGCGCTAACTATGATCCAAATAGTTTCTAACTTATATTACCGGTGGATGTTCGCGAATGTAGATACAAGTAGCCAGGAGAATCCCTTATTGTTCGGGGACCCGAAATTCCGCCATTATTCTGCGTAAACAAGTAGAAATGAAGAAAAGACCCAGGAAGGAATCTTAATTGCATTTCGAGCCGACCTCATTTGGGGGCGAATTGAAATCCTCATTGTGCGACGGAGAGTGAGCCATTATCCCATTCAGAGTGTTCATGCTTAATGCTTCCTGAATCTTCCTTTATTTTATTCCACCGTGCATGGTGTCTCCGTGATAAAAGATAGGAAATAACATTCGTCGCCTAGAGTCCACCTCATTATGTCGCCTATGCTCGCATTCGGATTGACGCCGAACGAGGCGCTATAATTTGTTTATTTAAGGGGATGTCAAAGTGGCATCTGAAAGATCAATCGTTTATGAAACATTTCTCCGAAAACTGAATGCCTTGAATCGGTTCAAACTACAACGTGGACGTGGAGGCTGTAAGAAAAAATCCTAACACTCTTGAAATTTCATTTTTTATCATAAACTTTGAAGATGAACAAATTTTAGAAAATTAAACACCCTGTTTGGGGATAAGTTCCATTACCGAGTCCTCTTTGACACCACTTTCGCATCACCTTAAGGGGCCATACCACTGTGAGCGTCGAAAAAATTACACATCTCTGACAATTTTTTTATTCTTAAAGAGTACTGCATATAATGGCACAAACTTTTTTTTTTTCCATGAAAAGTCTAATGTAGAAGAATACAGGAGAATTTTTCTTCTTAGCAAGAAATACGTATTTATTTATTTATTATTACAAACGTAGAGTGGTAAAAAGTTTGCGCCGTTAAATGCAGTATTTTTTGAGAGGATAAAAAATTGCGAAAAATGTGTAATCTCTTCGACGTTCACAGTGGCATAGCCTTAAAACGAAATCGCGATATAATTAAGCGGTGAATTACCGAAAAGATTGAAGAAAACAATAATTCGTATGACAATTGTCGAAGGTAAATGGAGACTAATGCGTAGAAAAATGTGAATAAAAAAGTGTGGAAAATCTAAGAAAAGACGCTCATTAGAAAAAAAAATACAGAGAATAGCGCGTAGGTCGGATTCCACTCGCGGTAGTACCAGGGAGCACAAAATATTAAGACAAAGAAATTTGAATTTTGTAAAGGTGGGGGTGCCAGCTTTACGCACCTGGTAGTACCGTGATCCGTCTCGTTGCAGCTAAGGGCTTACCGATGCAAAAGCACCACGGGGGTTAACCCTAGAACTACCAAACAGATCAAAATGACTCTTTTCACATGACTCATCCAACAGAAAAAAAAATCTGCCAGTCGCCGGTGTTAAAGTCGACAGTGTCGCGAGTGTGTCGCCATATTGGTGAGTCCCGAGTCAGCGCGACTCGGAATTCCCCCGGACGTGCGAATTCCGAAAACGACCGGATAGGCGATCCTCCAATGTCAGTCGCCCCTTTTTTGCGAGCTTAGCTCGCGTCCTCGCAGCTCGAATGGTCCAACGCCGAGCAACGGCGTCGCGACGCCCCGGGAAAGCAAGAAGCGAGCGATCCTCCGCATCCAGTTCGCCCTCCCTGGTCCCCCCCCCCCCCCCGCGAACTTGACGCCGTGTCAATTTTTTAGTCGCCGGAAGCCTGTCACGTTCTTTGAGGAGGAATTCGTTTGGCAGGGAGGCGTGCGACGCCTGTCGATCGGAATTTACTCACCGACGCACACTGCCACGACTGACAGCCAGTCGAGCAGCGTGGGCGACCGCGTTAATAAGGTTATCTCTTCTACTTGCAAAAGTTCCCATTGGCACTGAATATACGTATTCCCGACTAAGTTTAGCTCCGGGCTCGGTAAACCCCGTGGAAACGGGATCATCGTGGAAATTAGCTCGAGATGCAATTGACAGATTGCGTCGCATAATTCGTTACTATTCGTGCCTCATCACCATCGCGGTGGAATTCTGAACTCGGGTGAAGGATAAATTTCGAAACAATAAGATGGATCGGTTTGTATTGGACTTACGGATAAGTTAGTACGGTGTTTTTCCAACGATTTGAACGAGAAAAGTGTGGGAAATTAGGGCTATTAATTTCAACGAAAAACTTTCATTGATGACCTGATGGATATCTAATGAGTAGGGTTTCGCTTCATTCCACGAGTTTGCGGACAAATTCGATTGACAGGGAATTTTCTTTCAAGATAATTGCATGGTTATTACGCTATTAAATAGTTCATTGCGACCGCGATAGTAAGGTTATCTCTTCTACTTGCACAAGTTCCCATTGTCACTGCATAGACGTATTCCCGACTAAGTTTAGCACCAGCTCGGTAAACCCCGTGGAAACTGGATCATCGTGGAAATTAGCTCGATGTACCGAGATGCAATTGACAGATTGCGTCGCACAATTCTTAGTATTCATACCTCGTCACCACCGCGGTGAATTCTGAACTCGGGTGAAGGATAAATTTATAATGAAAACGAAAAGATGTATCGGTTTGTATTGGATTGAGGAATAAGTTCGTACGGTGTTTTTCCAACGATTTGACCTAGAAAACTGAGGGAAATTAGGGCTATTAATTTCAACGAAAAACTTTCATTGTTGACTGAATGGATATCTAATTACTAGTCTCGCTTCATTCCCCGAGCCCGCGGACAAATTCGGTTGGCAGGGTATCATCTTCGAAGATAATTGCATGGTAATTACGCTATTAAATAGTTCGTTATCTTGCCAAAAACCAAGGTTTGAATCTTTAAACACTCGCCCGGGAACTCATGGACCAACCCAATATCCAGGAATCGTCGATGGCTTCGAGGAAGGAGGGTCGCGTATGCGGAGCAGCGTTTAAAAATTCTCTACCTTTTCTCGGAAAAGGACCTTGCGCATCTATACCGCGAATATGAAGCCGTGTCAACAGGGCGTTCCGGAAAACTCTGCGGCGCCCTTTAAACGGATATCTGCTTATCGGCAAGACATGCGGAATTTACTCATCGGCACTGCCGGGACTAAACTAGTCCGGCACAGAGTGGGCGACCGCGTTAATAAGGTTATCTCGTTTCACGCTCGGTAAATCCACCAAGAGATGCAGTCGATATGTTCAGGAAAC